ACCTGTGTTGTTAAACTATTATTCACTCCTTTAAATCATATTATATATGGTTTAAAGAACACCTTTCAGTTCTTGAAAAAAAAAAAAAAAAACTAATAATGATATGTCTATAATTAAACTTGAAATTTGCGAGCAGTCTGTAGCAAAAATTATACAGCGGAATTGTATGAAAATTGGGTAATGACAGAATGAAATGATGGGAATTTTATTGAGGGAAAAATAGATACATTGCATAACACCATCTAGTGGTCGTTTTTAAAACTCATTGTTTTATTTCTCCCCTTGCTAAATTCCTATCATTTCATTCTGCCATTACCCAATTTTCATACAATTCTGCTGCATAGTTTTTGCCACAAACTGCTCTCAAATTTCAGGTTTAATTATGGACACCCTGTATATATATATATTATTTTGATTATACTCTTTGTTAATCCTTACTTGTTTCAAAAGTAATGACAATACTGTAAAAATATGTTTCCCCCCAAAACTGAGTAAGCTAACCATAATGTTTTCAGTGCATTTATGTGATTCTGTTTTTTCATTGTAACTACTGTGATATAAAATTTCATTATTAAGAGCTTATGCTATAAAGAGCTTCATTGTTATTTCAATAAGTTAAAAATAAAATTATGTAGAATTTGTTTTAAATACTTTCCTTCCCACTTCACCACAAATGGTACAACCTAAAGCCTACTTTTGGCTCTTTGTAATTGTAAAAGGTTAGGAATCAAAATAGGAACTACGTCTGGAGCATATGGCTTTTAAAATAAACCATAGTCAATGGAAGATGAATGCTATTCATTTAAGCTTCATCATATGTTTGCATAAGCTTTAGCTGCAGAAACCAACAAAAATATCAGTATAAGGAAAGAAAATATAATTGTGTGTAGAATTTTGTTATGTGGTCAGTGAGTCAGGATATGTACCTTTATATGTTTTTCTGATACATTTTTTAACAATTTAATAAAGATATTTTTTGATAAAATGCATTTTCTTCCAGATGTGAGAATCTAAAAGTTAAATCACTTGAATTTTCAAATTGCTCATGTTTCTTCCTTAAATATGGCATGGTCCTTAAGTATCCATTTAAAAGATTTAAGAACAGAAAGGGTTAGAAAATGTCTTGATGGCAAGTCATACTTAATGCTTGCCAGACATGCTTAATGCTTGCCAAAGGGCACTGTACCTCCTATTCCCAGGTATGGCTAATGATTTGGAAGTTCATCTCTGAAGTCTGCAGACACTCAGTTCTACAACTAGCTGAGGATTCATATTTGAGAAATATTGGGTATAAGTATTTTAATTCTATGCTGCTGTGGTAGAAAACATCCTGGTTGGACAAGGACACAAGAAGTGTTGGCATGTAAGTTTTGAAGTTCAATATATTGTAGGCTGGTAGAAGTGTACTGACTTTTATAGTTAGGTTGTATAAACTAAGCATACTGATGTGGTTTCCCTTAGCAGTTTCTTCCAGGGGCAATCAAAGAAAGTATTTGGTTGCAAATGATACAAACAAAATATTGAGAGAAGCAGTAATAGGTATTAGTTTTGTTAAAATCTAAGCAAACAATTCCAGTTTACAGTCTTATAAGAAATGGGCAGTAGGCATAAACATGTTTTCCTCATTAAGGTAAATGTGTTTATTTCCAGGAAGTTCAGTTTCCATGTATGATAATAAATGCGAATTTTTTAACAGATTTAAAAATCCAACTGTAGCTTTTGATTGGGTTTCTTGGCTGGCATTTTAGAAAGGCTGAATGAGAAGGATGTTATGCGAGCACACTTGATAAGAGAAGTCTTAATAAAGCAACTAAATTTTGCAGCAAAAGAAATTGAATGGGTAACTTGTTCTTTTTTTTTTTTTTTTTTTTTTTAGCTTAATGGTTCTGTTGTCAACAATATAAACAGCACTGTATGAATGTGATAAACTGTAAATTTCATATGAATATTTTTTCAAGAAATAACATTTATGCTGGATACATGATCTTTTTCAGCCAATAAAGAGTCCAGGCTTTTTTTCTCCTTTTGAATGAAAGAAAGTAGTGCTGTTGAACTGACCTGTGCCCAAACCCTTAGTGCAGTTTCAAGAAAAGATAGCATAATTTTTGAAGCAGGAATTAAATGCCATATGATTAGCTGGTTATGCATTTTAACTCAATTTTTCATTTACTGTGTACCTGAAACCAGTTACCACAGTATGTTAAATCATGGCCTCTTTTCACTGAGAAATTTCTCTTCCCTGCAGAAATGGTATTCATTTTGGTTAGAAAAGTTTTTGATCAAATTTACTTTTTGTCTTTCATTTTTGAGCAAGCTCCAAAAGAAAATGTTGAAATCTTTTGTACTGAGATTTTATTATAAAATCATGTTTATTTTTTGTCACATATTTAATATATTTATGACAAAAATAATGGTTGTTAAACCCAGGTGGTTGTTAATGGTTGTTAAACCCATATTATACATAATATATTTACAAACTGCTTCTTAAATTTGCCTGGTATTCATAAAAAATTTTAAAAACATGTTGATAAATTTTCATTTAGACAAATTTTATCATTGGAGCCACATTATATTTTTTTTAATCATGACCAAGCGGTAGTTTCTGAAAATTGGGAGAACCACGGGGTAGAAAATTTATGGGAAAAGTTAAAAGGTTTTCTCATGATCGTCAGTAACCATTAAAAGTCCTGTCATATTTAATGGTCAGTAACCATTAAATATTAAATATAATTTTCTGTATGATTCCCATATAGCAAAAATTACACTCATTAATAATTAATAATCGTTTAATAAATTTTAATCCAAAAACTTCTGTTCTTTTACATAGGAAAATTTCTGAAGATAGATTACCAATTTACTGACCAAAACATTTTTCAATGCCGTAGTGAAATAAATTCTCAATTTTCCCACAAAATTTAGAGAAAAGTATAAAATAAAAAGTTATGCTTTTTAATGGTTTCCTAAAAATAAAAGTTAGATATGTGCTGAAAATGGGAAGTCAAATTCATTTGTCATGTGCACATGATGAAAATTTGGCTAAAAATAGTACCATTGTGCTAACAAATTTAATAACATGTACTGCTGTACTCTACTACATAATCATTACTCAACAAAGTAAATGACCTTTGTTTTTTAGTGTGCTCCATAAATTTGGGTGAGAATGATTGAACTTCAGATATTTGTTGGCACTGAAAAGTCACTGAAGTCTGGAAATTCATTCTTGAATGTTTGTTCAAATATTACAGATAGAATTATGAAGTTTTTGTATTTAAATTAAAACTTCATGAATTTTACTAATTCGAATCATTTATTTGCATGCACCATGTAAAAGGTTCTTAAATTTACAGTACACTTACCCGACCTTTTTTCTTCTTTTAATATACAGCCGTGTTGCTGAAACTGCGTTCATAAAATTCTCTACTTCGAGAAATGTTACCACCAGAAGTACTTGTCTAGCATCACTGCTTAAATAAATACTGTTTCCACCTTTTTCAAACATCTTGTAAATACATATAAAGAGAGTTTTATTTACTGTATGTGAGAATTATAAAAAAATATTCTGAAACTTCCAAAACACCAGCAGCAGATGTAGCATTCTATTATATCCAAATAGCTATTCTGCTTTTAAATTAAGCTACTGAACTTGTTATTGATGCTAGTGATAGTAGTACTACTCAAGAATTTTATGTTATAAATTGTTTATCTGCAAGCATTTATGATACTTTTTTATGGGCAGGCATTTTTTATATGTACACTGACGAGCCAAAACCATTGTGACCATCCCCACATTTTTCAATGAACTTGTCTGGATGATGTAGACAGCATGTGGTTAAGTAGGAATGGTATTTAACTGCCACTAGGTAAGGTAATAAATCATTTTTGCACTTTTGCAAGTGATGGGAAAGGCTGCTGAAAGTGAATTTGATAGAGGGCAGATTGTAATGGCCCGAAGACTCGGAACTAGTATCTCCGAAACTGCACAACTGGTAGGTTTTTCACGATCTGCCATTGTTAGTATTTATACAAAGTGGAGAAACGATGGTGAAGTACAGTACAGGTTCAAGTACAAGTGTTTCAGAACACACAGTTTGAAAAGCACTATTGGATTTGGGGACTGTGCAGCAGACTTCCCACTCATGTGCCTCTTTTGACCAAGCATCATTGTCAACTATGCCCTACAGTGTGCCCGGGAACAGGGCCAACCCTAGGCCATTGGTTGCCCATGTACTTTTCTAAGATTGCTGCCCCCAAATTTTAAAATAATGCTCAAGAATTAATAAAACTTTTATTTCTTGCTTACTAAGTACTTACAATGAATTTAATGAATTTAAAATATTTAGGCATAGTATTGCCAGAGTACAGCTGACCCTGAATTTGGCTACCCACGTACTTTTACATGCTGCACCCCCACTAGAAATGGCCGTGCCCGGGAACATCGAAACTGGACCACAGATAAGTGGAAGCCTAGTAGGATGAATCATGTTTTCTCATTCATCATGTTGATGGTCATGTCCGAGTACATCGTCTTCCAGGTGAAGAATTTCTCTCCTCTGTGCAGCAGGTCACACATAGGCTGGTGGTGGTAGTATTATGCTTTGGAATACGTTCTCATGGGTGGCTCCGATACCCTTAGTTGAGGTAGAACAGACTAAGAATGCTGCGGACTATCTGAATATAACTGCGGTTCACTAGCACCCATACATGGTATCTGTCTACCCAAATGGAAACGGAATCTTCCAACAGGAGAGCACCCCATGTCACAAGGCTCGAATTGTGTTGGGGTGGTCCGAGGAGCATAAGGATGAATTCCAGTTAATGCTCTGTCCCACTAACTCACTGGATCTAAGCCTGATAGAGCACATTTGGGATGTCATGGAGCAGCAGCTCAGAGCTCAGACAGCACGATGTCGCACCAAGTTTTGGCTCTTCAGTATATATATATATATATGTCTGTCTGTATGTGTGTGTATACATATAATATATATGTATATTTTTTTTAGTTGTGCCAAGAAATGAATCTGATTGAGAGAAGAAAAGATTTTATTAATCCATATCGAATGGCTGTTACGGTAAAAGTTTAGTCATTTATTCAATTAGTGATTAATATTTTAAAACAAGGTTTTTGATCTTTTTAAATAGTTGAACCAAGCACTGTTAGAAAAGAATGAAATCTAAAAATAAAAAGAAGTATTCTGGAAAATTTTAAATTTTGATTAGCAAGATGTTAAAATATTTTATTTTTTGTAGGTTTCAGTGATAAAATTATATTAAATGTTAAGAAATGTGTAGAAAAATATGATAAATTGAAACAAAAGAAATGAAAATTTATTGTTCTCAAAATTTTTATTTGGTTTTATCTCTTTAAAAGGGCATGTGTTAGTAATACATTTTTTGGGAAAAAAATAGTATTAAAAGGGTTTATAATAATGATTTAAATAGTTATATATTTTGAGAAATGAACACAAAATTCTTTATCTGTAATCATGTGCTGAGCTGAGACAAGGGGGAGGTATTTATCTGAAATGTAAAACTAGGAAAGACCACCCTTAACAAGGGAAAATTAAAAAGCAAGTATAAAAAAATTATTTAAATATCAATTAATAACCTTATATAAATTATCTGCTCTTGTAATTAGTCTGTGGCATTGCTCCGCCCCCCAGCATACTGTAATACAGTCAAAAGTCGTTAATTCGGACACCCATAATCCAGACCACAAAGCTACAAACTTTCTCCGCATGCAGATGCATGCGCAGGAGACCTTTACGGCTGCGAATATACGAATACGTTTACGAATGAGCGTTTAATGTATAATGGACGGTATAAGCTAAGCTAAAATTATCTAATTCAGTTAATGTTGCAGATTGCGTTGTTCCTTAATCTTCGAATTGGATTCGGCTTATTATTTTTTGCAGACTGTTAGAGCAATTTTATAAAAGTAAGCTTGAACTTTCGATTATGTCAAATAGAATTTCTGATATATATTTTACTAATATGTAAAGGATCTACAAAGCGAAAGTATGTTTCGAAGTCCATTAAACAAAAAATGGATAAAGGCATATCCTTTGTTTATCTAAACTTTAATGTTTGTTTATCTAAACTTTGTTTATCTTTAACGCGGCGGGGCGCAATGAATTGGAAGTTGATCTGTCAGCACTATCCTTATCTTCAGGGCAGATGTTTTTATTTTATTTGGCTTATAATTTCTTACTAAATGTAGTATTTCATCTCAATGTACTCCATCTTTGATATGATTTAAATCAAATTCCTCGTCGTTATAATTCGCTTCCGATAGCGAAGAAAGTGACAGAGGTTATTGAAAACGAAAAAATTTCGATTGACAAATTAGTCGGTATTCTTGACACAGCAATTATAGGACTTGAACAGCGGAACTTTGTAACTGAACAAGAAATTATGTCTGTTTATAGAATTAAAGAGAATGTATTATCACATAAAAAATGAAGCAACTTAAACAACTTACATTGAAAGAAATGTTTAATAAAGTAAACAAATAAATATTAAGCTTTTTTTTTTTTTTTTTTTTTTTTTTTTTTTTTTTTTTGTTTTTGTTGTTGTTGTTGTTGTTGTTGTTGTTGTTGTTGTAAATTTTGATACCCTTTAGATCATAATTGTTCTTTATTTCATAAATTACGGTTTCATATTTTTAATTTTATAATTTCTGCATGCCATCTTACCAAATTTAAACTGATGATCTATAATCCGGAATCGCCGAAGTCCCGACGAGTCCGGATTAACGAATTTTGACTGTAGTAACTATTTCTGTACTAATTATAATTTAAATCACTACAATGCTTTTTAAATGCTGAAAATTCCATTATCTTTTTAGGATTAAAGAGGAACTGTGTGTTAAATAAAAGAAAGATTAAAGGCCTGTTTAAAATGCCACTAAATATTTAACAGAATTACAGCTAAAAGTGTAATCCATAAAAGAGTAGAAAATATGGGAAACTTATGAACATTACCTTTTTTACTGTAGTTTTATAAAAGCTTATTTCGTATTATGTACACTCACCCAAAAGTTGAAGAAAACTTAAAGCAACTTACCCTAATTTATCAAAATACGGTCTAATTGATTAAGTAGCATTATTTAGTATCGGAGTACATTTTTTCTGGACTGTAACTTTTATTGCAGTTCATTAATGTCTGTTAAAATATTTGACTTCAATTTTAAATTATTTTTCCATAATATACTAGGAAACATTCTTAAGTGAAACTTTTAAATTTAGCCCAAGGAAATATTGCTTGTATATGTATATAAAAATAATTATTGCAAGAAAATAAAATTTTTAATTGCAAAAATTAGTATTTCCAATAGTAAATAAAATCCTTCTTGAAGTATGTACTGAGAGTATCTGCTAAACTATAAATGAGATGTTAGTGCTACATCATGAGAATAAAGCTTTCTCACATTTCACTAATTGATATTCCATATAAACTCATAAAATTTTGTTTTAATACAACAGTTTAATATTACAGCTATGATGGCATTGTTATTATGGTTTGATAGTAAGTTTCAGTGAGTAAAATAGTCATTAGGGTTATATATTTCTACTTTATTAATATGTATATCAAAAAAATTTGCTAAGAGCTACTAAAATTCCTAATTTAAAAAAAAAACAATTATTGCCAAAATGTCTTGCATATTGTTTTCATTTTATATGTGTAGGTTTTTAAATTTTTTAAACTAAGTGCTTTCAGTTTGAAAATGTCACAACCAGTTTAATATATTTAATTTAGTTTGGATAATTTACCAAAAATTTAGTGTTAAAGGAATGAGGCAGACTGATTTCACAGAACCAGAAATACATTTAAAAACATAATTGGCGGAATTTTAAAACAACGTTAGGCTACCTTGAAAACTATTAACAGCGGAGTAAGTTAGCAATATCACCTGCAAAAGTGCGCATAGGAGTCAGAAAAGAGCATTGGTTGCCAAGCTCTAAACCATGCAACGCAGCAAAAATTTTTGATGCTTCACTCTCAGAATGCACTGAAATCAATCTTTGCTTAAGGCACCATATTTTCCAGTGGCAGGAGGTTTTAAAAAGATATCGCCAACAGAATTAAGTATGTCAGAGTCTACAGCAGCAATGACATCGTTAAATCAGAAGTTATGTTGGAAAGGGAAAACTCTGATTCGAATCTGACAAACCATAAGGCAGGATTTGTTTTCCAAACAAGCAGTAATTTTACTGAAACATGCAGCACGTGTGTAGCCGCTGTACCTTCAGCTGCAGTATCATCAGCGGAATTTTCATTACATGGCATTACCAACTTTCTACTACTAAGTATTACAAATATTAATGCTAAAACATAAAAAATAGAAAAACTATCGCACATCCGTACCCATTAAAGATAGACATTGAAATGAAACCACATATCAACAAAACTGAAAATATTCACTATGTAAAAGAATACTGTACACATTAATACGGAAGGGAAAATCAATTTCTATAAACCAGTCTTACCTACACTCCAAAACACACAATAAGCTGCAAAAAAACATTTTCCAATATCAGCACTGACATACTAAGTAGTATTTTCACTAGTAGTGAATTTCAGTTTTTCAAGTAGTACTTTCAGTACTTTCACTGAAATATTCCTGATTTGCAGCTCCACAATAGCATCCTTTGCACAGATACTGCTGCCATGGGATCTCAATGTTCAGCTTCCCTGAGCACTTCACTCTGGCCATGCATAATTGCAGCAGTCTTCATAGGTCACCAAATGCGGTGATGGTTTATGCCACAAGATTCCAAACTTGTCAGAAAGTTCATTAAAGGAAGGTAAAAAACTTTGGTAAAACATAAAAGTAACTTAGGTAAAATAATTAAAAGGTAAAATACGAAATTAAGTACATGATAATAAGCCAATGCCAAATGTTGACCGTGAACAAGCAGGATCAGTTAAGTACAGATGCAAGAGAATCTCTCAGTGAAAAGTTCAAGTCTTTATACTCGCACTATAGCGAATGTGCATGGGTACAGCGCAGCAAACATGGATACTGCTTGCAGATGTCAAAAATGCAAATACTCCACCACGGAACTGTAGTTTAGAATTGTAAACTCATGCTCATTTGGGGAAAAAATGGGATTATGTCTTACAGAAGAATGACTGTCAAGTCTGAAAATGTCCAAAAGCATGCTTAATCAAGTATTAATTGTTGTACAGTGCCTGACAGAGAAAATGCAGCACCATAAAAGGAGGTAGAATGCAATGGAAATTAATAGACAGAGGATATATGTATAAATATGCGATTTTAATTTTTTTTAAAGAGTAATCAGTAATAAGTAGGACCATCTCTTGCAGTGGTACAACAGCAGCCCTCCAAGAAATCAGCATGAGGATAGTGTTCTGATGGATCAGGATGGATGATCGTTTACGTTCAACCATTCTCCATAGTTCTTCCTCCACTTGAAGCTGGGTCAGATTTAGCAAATAATGGCCAATCCCATTGCACAAATTCTCAAACAGCATGACATCTGAACTTCATTGCACAAGGAATTCTCTGTATACTTGCGAGGCTTGTCTGCTGATAATTGCTGCGTGCATTTGAGCATTGCCATGCTGGAAGGCAGCATTTTGCGACTGCTGAATGTAAGATTGTCAACTGGCTGTAGCTCTTCATCCACATTATCATTGTGCCATCATTTTGCCTCTGTTATGAGCCAGAGATGATGGTCTGTACATGGTAATGTCATGATGTTGTAACCATGATACATACATGTAACCATGATGTTGTGTTATTGAGCTGAGTGGTATTCAACAGTTGCAGCAAGATTATAGCAAGATATATCTCAGACTTTTTTAGACTGTCGCTGATGAAACATATATAAGACTCCTGTACACCATTCTGTGCCATTAACTTCGTCCAAGAGGTTTTGTCTTGACACCATTGTAATCACTGCCATAAGTGACAGTCTTCATAAAGGGGGGTATGATTTCAAGCTGCTCACAGCCAATTGTATCAAAATCGTTTTTGCTGATACTTGAGTATCTAAAGCTCCTTATACATTTTGCATAATGTCAAGAGTCGTGTTGTGAAGCTGCC